ATAAATTCAATAAAAAGCATGTCATGCTCTAAATTATTATAGAAAGACACTGAATTCACCAAATTTATTTTCTAGAATGAGTAGTCTAAATGTTCTCATATCCAGTCTTTACATAATTTTCAATTTTCAACAAAGACTGTAGCTCTTGCCCTCCCAGGCTATATGCAAAGATGTTGCCCTGTCTAGGCCATCTGAATAGAAATCCACGTTGCTATTGCTTAATGGCTAATTTTGCTAATCATTTTATAAAATATTTAAAAACACATCATGGTGATTTGAGGCCTAATATCAAAAAGATGTTTTCAAAAATTAAATTCTCATAAACCTGAAGAAAAGTGAGAGCCAATTTCAGACTTACTCCAAATGTGTTGAACTCTTGATCTTATTCCCAACACTTGACCCATGGAAGCTGTTAATGACTTCACCAACCCCTCCATTTGCTCAGCCCATAAAACTAAGAGTTGTCTTTTTCTTCTTTAGCTATTACTTCCACTTCTAGTTCATTAGGAAATTCTTGTTGCTTTACCTAAACATATACCAGAATTTAACCAATTCATACCACTTATACCACACTGGTCCAAGACCCCCATCATCTCTCTCCTGGATTGGCACAATAGCCTCCTTACTGGCCTCCCTGCTTTTGTTCTTGTTCTTTTAGAGACTATTCCCACAGCAGTAACACAAGTGATCCTTTTAATAGGTAACTTGATCACATCTTCACTCTGCACAGAAGATTGAATTGGCTTCCAGTTTTTCCCCGAATTAAGGCAAAATTCTTACATTGGCATACAAAGCCCTCCATGGCCCAGTACCTAGTACCAATCTGACTTCACCTCCAATTACGCTACCCCCTTTATCCCTGTACTCTATATCGGCCTCTTTGCTGTGCATTGAACACATGATCTGCTCTCACCTGAGGACCTTTGCACTGGCCATTCTCCATATATATTTAAGGTTAACAACCTCATCTCCTTCAAGGGTTTGCTTAAGCCACTTTCTTACTCTTTGCACTCCCAATCTTCCCTAGCCTTTTTTACTTTTCTTTTTTCTATAGTAGGTACTACATACATATTTTTGCTTCTTTTTTTTTATTGTAGATCTTACCCCTTTAGATTGTATGCTTAGATCATTGTTTGTACGCTGATGTACTCCAAGTGTCTGAAACAGTGGTACATAGTGGATACCTATATATTTATTAAATGAATGAAATCTCTGAGGCCAACCCATTGTTAAGATATCAGTACATCCTCTTTAAGCTCTGATTTTCTAAGTTTGTAGTTGGTAATTCAGTTTTATATTGGCCTAAAATTTGGCATTATATACTGAGATTGAATTTATTTACCCAATTTAAACAAAATATATTAAGCTACTTGAAGTACTATAAGTGCAATAAAGAAAATCTTTAGATATGTGACACTATGTTTTATAATTGCATAAATCATTAAGGCCCTAGATTCATTGGAGAAATTTAACTTGTCAGGCAGTTTATGGTTTGTTCTGATGTGGTATTAGGTGTAAACAAATTTGCTAAATACGTAATGTAGTATAATGTTGCTTCTATTGAAAGGCAAATCAGAAATTATCATCTTGCTATAGTCAATGAGTAAAATGAAAATAAACTTTTAAAAGTACACCAGCAAATTACTAAAATCTTTTCATTGGAGAAATTTAACTTGTCAGGCAGTTTATGGTTTGTTCTGATGTGGTATTAGGTGTAAACAAATTTGCTAAATACGTAATGTAGTATAATGTTGCTTCTATTGAAAGGCAAATCAGAAATTATCATCTTGCTATAGTCAATGAGTAAAATGAAAATAAACTTTTAAAAGTACACCAGCAAATTACTAAAATCTTTTAAAATATTCTTTTTTTTTTTTTTTCTTTTTAGGTACTACTCTGTCTTTAGAGTCATTTCTATAGCTTCAAGTATTCAGTCTGGCTTAGGATTGTATTATTTTATTATGGATATCTCTCTACTAGCCTCATGGATGATCTTCCCTCTTCAAGAACTTCATTATCTTGAACTAGGACAGACCCCATGGTGATGCCAGCTTAAGAACTAGTACCAAGGTAGGGGCTACACAAAGTGCCTGGAGTCAGACTCAGTCCAAGAATGGTTACTGATTACTGTTGAAGAAAAGACCAACAGTCAGTTTTAAGAGGAAATATCAATTATGAGATCTAAAGGATGAAGTTGACGTCAGAACTACAAAGCAAGACAAGATCAGAAGCCAAGGTAACAGAAAATGTCTGCAAATTAAGGGCAAGGTGGGTAACACAGCAGAGAATGTTATTCACCATAAATAATCCAAGATCTCTCCTAGGAAAAGCAAAGCGAGAGAATTAAATTCTCAATGGACTCTTTTGTGCTTCTGTCATCAGAGAATGAGGTAAGAACAAGAAGCACAAAGTTGATGGGACCTCCAGCCATCCTAGAGTGGCCCCATGGAGAAATGCAAGGTGAGAAGAAAAATCAGAGATTTTCAAACAACAGAGCTATAAGAGAGAAATATTATTACAGTTACCTTTAGTCTTTTTTAACAGATACAAGTTGTCAAGCCCCATAGGGGATGTTAGATGATAAAAGTTGTAATATGCCAAGGGAATATTCAAAAATATATTTACTGTTCTCATGAAATTTACAGCTTAACTATGAAGACAAGAGTTGTCTATGAAAAGTGAAGATTGTTTGCTTACCATCTACATTTCTACTTTCCAGTGTCTTGCCTTTCACATACATTCTTTAAGAAAACTTTCTTCAAAATTGTATCCGATTTCACCGCCTGAGGAACTCTGCAGGGATCGATCCCTTGTGCATAAGACTAGCATTACATAACCAGTTTATCCTATATCAAATGTACTTGTCACCCTCATAAAAATGTATTTGTTAAATGACTATTTACATCTATAATGTGCCATGTGCTGTTCTAGATATTAGGGAAACTGAAGTAGACAAAACACTTTTTGTCCCCATGGAACTTATATCACAATGTCATAGGTTTATATACCCTCTCTTCCTACTAGGAGAAAATGTATTATTTTTAATCACTCCCTTATAGTACATTTCTTCAACCTAGTTGTCTATCAGATTCTGCCGATAAGTACGGCCTCTTCCATTCCCATAAATCAGAGTCTTGGGGAGGGATTGGAAAATTCATCTTTTTAATAAGCTCTCAAAGCATGAATAATATGGGGGGAACCAGTGCCCCGTTAATAGCAATCTGAAGAACTGGTGATTTTTGTTGGACTCTATCTGTGTGACCCCTTTTGATTGTCATGACTAACTGCTACCAAACTTCTCATCTTTAGAGAATATAAAAGCTCTCTGGGGTTTTCACAGCTAATTCACATAACAAAGACTAACAAGGCAAACTTTTAAAAAGAAGTATACCATTTATTTTTAAACAAAATGTTTTTCTCTATGGGGCAGAAGTTACCATATTCTGCTTTGAGGAAGAAAAGAATCAAACATAAATTACCAATTACGGTCCACAGAATCAAAAGATTCATTTTAAAGGTAAAGTTATGGGGATTTAGGATGCTTTCTTATCAAAGAAGGCAAGACTGAGTGAATCTCAGAAACCCATATAAGAGATAATTATTAAAGTAGTTCTTTGTGAGTTAACAATTAGTATAGTTAACATTTAAGACTAAACATGTAACACCAACAAATACAATAAAGTTGATATTCAAATAATAACTAATGCAGGCTTATTACATGTCACACACTATTCTAGGTACTTTAAAGATATTAAGATGATTTAATGCTCAACCCTCTATGAAATGGTTTTTTTTAATGTCCATTTTGTAGAAGAGAAAACTAAGGCATAGAGAAAATAAGTAAACTACTCAAGGTTACATAGCTGGTAAATTTTAGCCAGGATTTGAACTTAGGTGTAAAAATCCATGCTCTTAATTACTAGACTAAACTGCCTATCCTTAGTTTTTATAATACTTCTTTAGAAGATTCATACTAAAAAAGTTCATACAAACCTATTCTAGGAAACATTAAATTTTTTTTTTATTTTTTATTACAGCTTCCCTGCCCCAATGCCTTAATCAGGCTAATTTTCATTTGACTTATTTTAAAATGAAGACAGCAATGTTGTTGAAGCAGGATCATTTAGTGATTAGAGGTTCACGCATAAGAGAGATATGGTTCGGAATCTCATTTCTGCCACTTGTTTGCTATCTGACCTTGAGTAAGTTACCTCTCCAAGTCTCAGTTTCCTCATCTTTAAAATGAAAGTTATAATGGGACCTACATCATAATACTGGTTAAAGATAAAACAAGATAGCCCATTTTAAGCACTTAGAAAGTGCTCAATAAATATTTAGTGTAATAAATAATAGCAGCATCAACAAACTGAACCAAATGATCTCTTGATTCTTCTACTCGGACTGAAAATAGTTGATTTCTAATTTAAAAAAAATAAAATGACAACCAAAACAACAAACCAAGCCACAAACCATTAAGCCAATTATGTCTTTCGTGGGAAAACCACAAAGGCTATTGGACACATTAATTTATATATCATTAGTTATCCCCTCTATCTAAAATGTATGTGTTCTAGCATCCTGAGACACCTTGCATAATATAACCACTGTGACTCCAAGAGGTCAAATGGGCAAGCAGTTAATGCTTCTCTATGAAAAGCTCAATAATTAATTTTATAAATTTAAATTCCAAGCCTACGTTGAGGTTAAGAAAAATTGACATTCGTTCTGTGGACTTAATGTCAAGCTCCAGGAAAACTCTGGGCAGCACACATTCAGCTATTAAGACGAGGCAGACAATAAAGACGTTGCCAAATTGTAAAACAAGACTCAGAAATTGCAGAAAATGTTGCTAGTTATTGATTATGGTGACCATTCAGTTCTTATTGAGACACCCAAAACAATCATTCATTTTCCAGCAGAGAGCCTGCTCATTTGCAAGATAAAAGAGAGACATTTCTGCACATGCCCATAATGTTCTTCACCACTGGGGGCAGCTTTACATAAGACTGCATTCACTGAAACCAAAGCAACAGTCCAAGCAGCTTTCAGAATGACAGTCTGCAGAAGTGAGCTGAGCGTGTGTGCGGTGCGGGGCTCAACTGCTTTCTGGGCTCCGACGCAGCTCTGTGGCTGAACTGGGTGCTCGCCACCAGAAATGCTGGGCTATGGAATACAGATGTGGCAGCTCAGGTAGCCCCACGTTGCCTGGAGGAATACATCATGCTTTCCGATAAGAAGAAATTGTAGAAGCCAGTTCTTTTTTTTAACGCCCCCCCCCACCAAAAAAACTGTAAAGATGCAAAAACGTAATATCCATGAAGATCCTATTACCTAGGAAGATTTTGATGTTTTGCTGCGAATGTGGTGTTGGAATTTATTTGTTCTTGGAGTGTTCTGCGTGGCTGGCAAAGAATAATGTTCCAAAATCGGTCCATCTCCCAAAGGGTCCAATTTTTCTTCCTGGGTGTCAGCAAGCCCTGACTCACTACAGTGCAGCTGACAGGGGCTGTCATGCAAGTGGCCCCCTAAGCCAAAGTGAAAGACCCAAGGACGACCTTTGAACAATACAAAGGATGGGTATGTTTTGTCATTTTTCTTCTTTCCTTCTTAAAAAATAATAATAATAATAATAAAATCCTGTAGTTATGTATTAATTCTGCCTTAATTATTTTAGAGATTACCTTGCTCTGCTATAAGACTATAAATTCAATTGCTTAGTGGACACGTTTCCTGCTTAACTATTAAAAAAAAAAAACCTAAAGACGGTTCTCTTTAAATAACAAAGAAATGATATTTGATGTTAAGTGTTGTTATCTAGATTCAAAATTTTTTAAAAGGAAATACATGCCTGTTTTTGCTTGATTAAAAATAAATGAATTCTCTTTTGGGGGGATAACTTTTCTAAGTTGTTTTTATTTCCAGGTTTCAATGTAATTAGGCTACTGAGCGGATCAGCTGTAGCACTGGTTATAGCCCCCACTGTCTTACTGACAATGCTTTCTTCTGCCGAACGAGGATGCCCTAAGGGCTGTAGGTGTGAAGGCAAAATGGTATATTGTGAATCTCAGAAATTACAGGAGATACCCTCAAGTATATCTGCTGGTTGCTTAGGTTTGTCCCTTCGCTATAACAGCCTTCAGAAACTTAAGTACAATCAATTTAAAGGGCTCAACCAGCTCACCTGGCTGTACCTTGACCATAACCATATCAGCAATATTGATGAGAATGCTTTTAATGGAATACGCAGACTCAAAGAGTTGATTCTGAGTTCCAACAGAATCTCCTATTTTCTCAACAATACCTTCAGACCTGTGACAAATTTACGGAACTTGGACCTGTCCTATAATCAGTTGCATTCTCTGGGATCTGAACAGTTTCGGGGCTTACGAAAGCTGCTGAGTTTACATTTAAGGTCTAACTCCCTGAGAACCATCCCTGTGCGAATATTTCAGGACTGCCGCAACCTGGAACTTTTGGACCTGGGATATAACCGGATCCGAAGTTTAGCCAGGAATGTCTTTGCTGGCATGATTAGACTCAAAGAACTTCACTTGGAGCACAATCAATTTTCTAAGCTCAACCTGGCTCTTTTTCCAAGGTTGGTGAGCCTTCAGAATCTTTACTTGCAGTGGAATAAAATCAGTGTCATAGGACAGACCATGTCCTGGACCTGGAGCTCATTACAAAGACTTGATTTATCAGGCAACGAGATCGAAGCTTTTAGTGGACCTAGTGTTTTCCAGTGTGTCCCGAATCTGCAGCGCCTCAACCTGGATTCCAACAAGCTCACATTTATTGGTCAAGAGATTCTGGATTCTTGGATATCCCTCAATGACATCAGTCTTGCTGGGAATATATGGGAATGCAGCAGAAATATTTGTTCCCTGGTAAACTGGCTGAAAAGTTTTAAAGGTCTGAGGGAGAATACAATTATCTGTGCCAGTCCCAAAGAGCTGCAAGGAGTGAATGTGATCGATGCAGTGAAGAACTACAGCATCTGTGGCAAAAGTACCACGGAGAGATTTGATTTGGCCAGGGCTCTCCCAAAGCCCACATTCAAGCCCAAGCTCCCCAGGCCGAAGCATGAGAGCAAACCCCCCCTACCCCCCACAGTGGGAGCCACGGAGCCCAGCCCTGAGACCGATGTTGACACTGAGCATATCTCTTTCCACAAAATCATCGCAGGGAGCGTGGCCCTTTTCCTGTCCGTGCTCGTCATCCTGCTTGTTATCTACGTGTCATGGAAGCGGTACCCTGCCAGCATGAAGCAGCTGCAGCAGCGCTCCCTCATGCGAAGGCACAGGAAAAAGAAAAGACAGTCCCTAAAGCAAATGACTCCCAGCACCCAGGAATTTTATGTAGATTATAAACCCACCAACACGGAGACCAGCGAGATGCTGCTGAATGGGACGGGACCCTGCACCTTTAACAAATCAGGCTCCAGGGAGTGTGAGGTATGAACCGTTGTGATAAAAGCGCTCTTAAAAGCTCGGAAATAAGTGGTGCTTTCTTGAACTCTGGTGACTATAAAGGGAATGTGGTGTCCCCTCCCATTCCCTCTCCCTCTCACTTTGCTTGCAAGGTCCTTCCCTGTCCGTTTCAGTACAGTCATAATACTGGTCATTTTCCTCTCATACATAATCAACCCATTGAAATTTAAATACCACAATCAATGCGAAGCTTGAACTCTGGTTTAATATAATGCCTATTGTATAAGATCCTTTACTGATGCCATTAATGTCACACTTGTTTTAAGATAAAACTTCTTTCATAAATAATCCCCCACATCTGCTGTTATTTTCCTCCTGGTAGAAGCAAATCTACAGTTCCAGGAGGTTTGCAGTTCATTGGCAAATCGAGGAAAAAATGAATGGTCCCAGGTACTTGGATCTTGAACTGATTCCAGGAGAAGGCTTGCTTACAGGAACATTTAGAGACAGAGGCTTAAAACAATGCCTGGCTTAAAAGAAAACTGCAGGGAACTATCAAAAGATGGTGCTGGGTTAAAGCAGCACCATGAGCTGTTTTCAGAGGTGTCTGAATTATAAGGCGAGTCTAGGGAAAAGTGTTGAAGGGTTAAAATGATGCAAGTAGACAACTGCAAAATACGAGGGGATGAAAAAACACAAAGTTATAGACTTGAAGTCTTATCTCCAAAATCCATCCCTGTAAAATCAGGATAGAGGTTTCACTGTCAATTTCTTTTAGCCTCTACATTTCCAAAATAACGAAATTAACTGAATAGCCAAGAAGCAAATTTGAGGAGGCAGATTTCTCCGCTGCTCCTCACCTTAGGGAGCTTTCAGAGATGAGGCTTGCAAATAGGAAGGCAGCTTGCTATATGTATGTGGTTGGGAGCTTACCAAAATTTCTCTTTCCTGCTCTTTCAAGGATTCTAACATAGTGAGTGGAATCATTAGCTGTCTGTTCTTCTGTCTGGGATTTGTCAGGCTGTCCTGTTGTGTTCCATCATGTGTCCTGTACACACTCGTCCCCTAATTACTGACACTTTATTCAGAGGTGTAAAGAGAACACGTTCCAAAACATGCTTGCTACCAACAGCCTCATTAAAAAGGATGATTTTGATAACGTCTTAATAAATGTATAAAATAAATCTTAAAGGAAAAAACACCAATTCTATGGCACTTGTCTTTGCTTTTCTATTGCTGATGTTACAGTGTCCCTATGTTCATCTGTATTGTGAACTCATCCATCAGTATGACTCTGTACAGACCCTGTTGGCAATGTGCAAGCTGCATGCATGTTTTTATGTTATAGGTGAAAGTTTATTGACTGCAGCACAAATATCACAGCTTCTGTATTTAAGTAACTTTGACCACAGTTCATTAAGATTTTAGAAAAATGTCTTTAGTCTGTATCCTCTTTCATTCTTTAAAATGAACAATTCAATTACAGGAGCAAAAATCAGGAATTGCAACATTAAGTCTGTTTCACTTAATTTGGCTTGAAAGCCTCACATCTTTACTCGTGTCCCTGTTCTTTCAAAACAGAATCATTGCAGTAAAAAAGAAAAAGTAAATGGTTATTTTTACCAGCATTTTTATATACTTTGGAGGCTTTTCATATGCTGAGAGGATAAATCTACGCAAGTCACCATGAAATATAATTGCAAGGAAGCCAGATTACAAAAATCATACTTCTATAAGCAATAAGAAAAAGGAACATTTAAAGTGGACTTTGATTTCGATTAAATCTTAAAATAGATGGCAGTTCAGAAAAGCATCATAGCTACAATATATTTACCTATAAATAATTGTTGACTATACACGTATGAATGGCAAATTGTCACAGATTCCCAATTGATTAACAATGCAGATACTTCCTTACAGTACTATGAACTGGATGACTGAGCCTACTGTGATGTTTTTCACTGAAGCTGTAATTTTACATTTTTCATAACATGTCAGTAAATACTTATTCCATCTAAAAAAGAAATTTTCTTTGGTCAGACTCATTTTTATCTGTACTAAAGATGCTTGTATTAATTAAATGCAGTGTGAAAGTGAAAAAGCCCATTTCTATTCTTTGACTTGACTTCTGCCTCACTTGCCATGGATACCAAAGAAATTTAACCAAGGCATATTTATACTTATATTTTCGAATTCTTTCAAATTCTCAATTCTGTGGTATTGCTAGTATATATAAAATATATTTGCTCTATTGGAAAGTATTTCCAAAATTCAAAGCACTTGGAATGTAAGATTAAATGAATGAACAACATTTTGAAGACTAGTAATTTTTAAATGCCTAACTTTGACGCATTATTAATTTAATAATAGTTAAGAACCAAAAATAAAATCTTTTAGATAGTAAAACTTATTTTAATATGGGACATAAAATTACAAAAAGTGAAAAAGGATCATTTCCCCTTTTGGGGAATGAGGCTTCTCTAGTTCTTAGTATCGTCTAATTAAGTATATAATCCTTATAGGTTAGAAAATAACTAGTTTACCACTATAAATTTAACAAAACCAACTAAAGAATGTTCTCCTCAAAAGCTGTTGCCTTCACCCCCACTTCATGTCACTTTCTGGACTTCAGTAGTTCAAACTCAGTGCATGTAAGAGAAATATAATTCATATTCCATTTTTCTAGCACAAATTTACGTGAAGTATCTGATTTCTCTCAAAGATGAGGACAGTTAAATAAATAGCCTGACCTGTTGAACTACTCGGCAGAGATGCATCGAGGCAGAATTGATTCACTCAGTAGTTTGAATTCTTTGCCAGAGAGAGAGGAAATGCAATTTAGTGTCTGAACTGCCTGGGTTTTCACCCCCATTTTTATGAGCCCCAGCATGCTTAGTGCTACTGCAACATAAAGTTACTAGTCCCAGTGCCACAGCCGTCTAAGCAATACTTACGTAAGATAGAGTCATTTTAAATGAGTTTATATTTTCCAAGGATGTTGACATTACATCTTTTCAAAGAATTTAAACCATTTTTTATTTGATTAGGTGAGTCAACTACCTAAGTAGACAAACAGGCAATAAACTGCATTTCTGTGGAGCAGCAGTGACCTCCAGTGGCTGGTTAGGCTAATGTGTTTGTATACATTTCATATAGTTTTTTAACCAGAATCCTTATGTAAACGTGGTTGATGACACATAGTTTTTGATCTGTGAATCAGATTTAAATTTTATTTAGTTCATCTTTCTGGGAAATATGGTTATAGTGTAATTTTTAAGTTATATTTTGCATATTGACTTATTTAGTAATGCCAAACTGGTACTGAGGGCTAGAAATAAGTTCCCAAAGAGCAAGTAATAATGTAATAAGAATAGATAAGTAATATTTTAAAGTATTTATACTCATTGATGTTAGTCAAATATATATACTTTCATTAAGTGGGTTAACGTTTTTCATAGGCAGGCTACTGAAATATGCTGTAGTTTGGGTTAGAGAAAACAAATTTCAATATTAACATTGAAACAATCAGCTCAGATATTTACTAGTCAGTAGGAATGTCTGAGTTGTCACATGAGGGAGGCCTCCCCTTCCAGCTCTAGAACTCTTCAGTTTGTCGATCATGCCAGTGACCTGTGCTTTGCCCCAGTGCTCTGTTCCTCCCTCCCTATTTTCAGCCAGCTGAACACTGGTTCTATTAGGCTCTCTGACAATGACGTTACAGTCTAAGAGGTGATGATTCATGGATAATGAAATTATGCTCTCCTTCTGGGGAAGGATAATGCAGAGTCAGATTCATAAATTTGGCAAGGGCTTTTAGGATGCTGTACATTCATGAAATAGCTTCTCCTCCCTTGATGTTTACCAAGAAGAGAGCTTAAACAGTTTATTTAAAGTGTAGATTAGACTAGCATCAGAAACAAGAGTTAGGACGTGACGCCTAAAACAAAATAAGTTCCATACATGACAAATGAGAACTGAATCATGAGAAATGAAAAATTCAGACTGTGTTGCTTCTTTTATTCCCTTTTCCCTGGATTCTCATTAGAATCTGGATCTGTAGCAAACCCATGAAGTATTGCTATACTATACTCTCTTACTACCTACATTAAAAATCAGAAGCAGCTGGAAGAAATTATAAATATGAAAAATAATACCAGTAAGTTTGAATTATAAATGTTATAAGAGAAATAAAATTGATGAGAGCTAAATAGCTTGTATTAAATGATTCTTGAAAACTAATAAAAATATATAGAAGTGAAAATGACAATTTCCCTAATCTAATAATAGCCTACAGAATTGGACCCAAATTTTGCATAATCTACAAAATCATTTGGTGATTTTTGCATAGTTGGGTAAAATACAATAGAAATACTACAGAGAAATCTACATAAAATAGATTTTGATTTGAGAAAAATATCACAACCATCTAAGGTAGAGTATAGGCTTTAGATTCAAGTTTCTCTGACACTTGCCGATCAAATGATCTCAGGCAAATTTCTGAGCTTTTCTAAACTTGGAAGTTCCCCATCTGTAGAATGGGCATATATTATTGACTTCACATGGTTATTGGGAGGATGAAATGTGAGAAATACTTTGTAAACTCTAAAAGAGCAATTACCTATTCCTTTCAAAGAGCACTTAGTGAGAGATTCAGCTGTGTTTGCCGATGTTCTATGTTTGCTCTGGGTTATAAAGACATGAATAACCTCTATGTTACAAAACCAAATCCATTTTACATTAATATGAATTCTGGGACTTGGCAGTGAGTCTAGATCTTAATTTGTCTTTGACCTTTAGTTTCCATAAAAACAGCTATCTAAGTCTAGGAGTTAATCAATAATCATCACAATGTACAATAGACATAAAGATACCAAACAGAGAACACTGAATCAAAGCATTATCAAACTAAATCAAAATTCAAATTGTGTCCCAAGTCAGGTCATTATAGCAAGGGCTCTGAATCAACATAGTTTACCTATGTACCCCTTCTCCAATATCACTATTTTGAGCTTTGGTTGACTATA